CCTTGCCATTAATTTTTTAAGAAAAAATTTTTACAACCCCCCCCCCCCCGCCCTGCCTCGTTTCACAAACTAGACCTGCAAAAACGATGCTAAGTATGTAGCCTTCTCAGTCTCCTCACTAGAATGGCCATAGAATACAGATTGGCTCCGCAGCCTCAAATCCATCCTTTTCTGGTACTCATGAGTTCCGGTCTGAGTTTCTCCTATCCTGTCTCCACTTCAGCAACTGTGGAGCGATCCTGACGAGGAGGGAGCAAGAGACCCAGAGAGGTCAGAAAGTACTAAGAAGAAATGACCCAGGAGATGATTTTCAGCGTTCTCATGTTGCACAGCGAGTTGTGGAAGTCTGCGGCTTATGATCACAATGCCAAAGAGACAAAACCCCAGAAAACAAGCAGCGAAGCTTCTCTTCCTTTCTCATTTCTCAGGTCACTGCGGGTTACAGGCTTCCCTAGTGAAGGCAGACACTAATTTTGTCTGGTCTCCCTTCTGTTCTCTCAACAAGGTAATATAAATACAAAGAAACAAGTATTTATTTTTAGGTTTCCACATTGCAACTGGATTTCGACTTTGGTCACCTTGATTTTAGTTTGAGATGGTATTGAAACTCCTTGGTCAATAGTGAATCCAGCTTCAATTCTGGAGTCACTGTGGTCTTTTGAAAGCATACCTGATCAGAGTCTTTCAATGATCCCCCACTGCTCTTAGCACAAAATCAGAAATCTGTGCTATGGTCTCAAGATCTGCAAAGTCTGGCCTTTTACCTAACCTCAGAGGATTCTTTTTCTCCTTTTTGTCTACCCTTCTCCCTCCATCCCCTGCTGCCACCACCATTTTAAACATTTTAGTTATTATTTGTCTTTTTCCAGTTTTTGGAATTCCCCATGACCCCTCCAGTTTCCAGGTTTTTGCAATTGTTCTCTGCCTGAAATGCTCCTGATTCTACACCCCACCCCAACACACGCAAACACATACACACATACACATACCCACACACAGAGTTTATTGATCAACAACTCCCATCTCAGCTTAATCATTATGCTCGTGGAGAAGGTGGTCTCTGCTGTCAAAGATTCCCGTAACCCCAAAGAACTGGCTCTATACTCAGCCCCAAACCAATCATTAGTAAGGGACATGGGACGCTTAGGTAGGGTGTGGCTAATAGTGATCAGATTCATGAGGCTGGGAGGAACTCTGCCTTTCCTGGAACACAAGACAGAGAGCAAGGGAATAACTGGACAGAATCAAAGCTGTATGAGAAAGGAAGAAGGGAAAATGACCTGTGAGGAGGAACCTGCATTGCCTGATGCAAGTGCCTCCCAAGCACTTCAGTGGCTTGAAAGTGCATAACCATTCATTTAATACTAAAGTGCCAAGCACTGAATTATGTACTGAGGATATAGAGCATTAGTTCAAAAACTTGAGGGTGCATCAGAATCACTTGGAGGGCTTGTTAAAAGACAGATTGCTGGTCCTTATTTCAGAGTTTTTATTTCATTAGGTCTGTCGTGGGACCTGGGAACCTGCCTTTCCAAAAGGTCCCAAGGGATACAGATGCTGCTTGTCTGGGACTATGCTTTGAGAATATCTGGTAGGGAGAAGAAAAAGTTAACCAAGGCCCCTGCCTATGTGGAGCTTTCCTTGGATTAAAGGTGAGATTATAAGATTGTGAAGGTTTAGATGTCAAACAATGAAGTTTAGATTTATTTTGCAGACAATAAAAAGTTACAGAAAGCTTCTAAGCAGGGACTGACATAATCAGCTCTAGTTCTAGGAAGATGCCTCTGGTGGCAGGATCCTCAGTGGATCAGAAGGAAAGGGTAGTAATAAAGCAGGAGAAAGCTTCAAGCCAAAGAAATGGCAGCAGTAATGGAGCAGTTGATACAAGCAACAAATCAGAGAGCAGTTGAAAGTATCCCATTCAGTATTTCATCAAATATTGATCGTATTTTCTCTCCGTCAGGCATTGAGATACTGCAATGATCAAGACAGACAAGATAATTTCAAACAGAGAGTAGTTCTAAGTGCTGTGAAGAAATAAAATAAGGCCAGATGTCATGATAGTGATTAGGTGATGCTTTGAATAAGAGAACCAATAATGTATGGAATAAAGCTTTCATCTAAATAAAGTGTTTTACATGTAGTTTGCTTTTAAGTCACCATGTAGATGAATGCTGAGTCATAAGAGAATTAATACTAAAGTTGTTGGTTGAGGGTAAAATCACACATAGTTAAAATTAACTTTGAACTTCATTTAAATCGGATATAAAGTTCAGTATTATATTGTTCTCAGTGTGTCCAGCACTACTAGTCTTTCTATCATTATTGAAACAGGGCAGACATTTGAGCATCAGATGAAGTACACTGTTAATAAAAATTTGAAAATATAACCAAAATGACAAATAATAAATATCTACATTCCCATCACTCGTAAATAATCTTTCCTTTAAAATAAATAAGTAAATAAATAAAACATTAAGACACTACAAAAGAAAAAAAGCAAGAAAGGAAGTTTCAGCCCAATGCCAATGCATCTGCTGGTGCCAACAACTCTGGGGCATGAAGGAGTTTGTGTTCAAGAAACAGAAGGGATGTGTACTGGGAGATTATAAAGGTAATGTTAAGCTGTGAGTCTGGGGGTTAAATAGGTGCCTGAACATGTTGGACCTTATATGCCAAAGGAAGGCATCCAAATTTTTATTTTTGTCGCAGCCAACTATTGGGATTTTACACACATTGGTTACTATGTGAAGAACAGATTTTATGGAATTAAAAGTAGAAAGAGAGTCTGTCCAGTAAACTCAGTTGGTAGAGTGTGGTGATATAACACCAAGGTCAAGTGTTCAGATATCCTTACCTGCCAGCTGCCAAAACAAACAAACATTAAAAAAAAAAAAAAAAAAAAAAAAAAAAAAAAAAAAAAAAAAACACTCAATGAGAATGATAAAAGCAGAAAGAAGCAGTGGGGGGAAATTGAAAGGTTATTGCAAAATTTTTGGTGAAATTATTAGAGTTAGATTTAGGAGGAAAAACCCAACAAATTTATTGATGAACTGGGGTATAGGGGTGAAGAAACAAAATAGCTGACATTTACTGAGCACTTTATATGTTCAAGAAACTGTGTGACGCTCTTTAGAAAGGTTAACTCCCTTCAGCCTCTCAACATCTACATTATCTTGATCAACTAATCTCTTTTTATCTGACTAGAATATGAGCAAGTTGTGGGCTGGGGTTAGACCCAAGGCAGCATGCCCGTAGAGGTTGTATGCTATCTACTACCCTACGGTGCTGAAGTTCTTCTTGGATAGAAAAGCAAGAATTGTAGGATAGAATAAGGCTTGGGAAACTGGGATGTGACAATTTCTAAAATCTCATAAGCATTCTATTGGAGATGTCAAGTGGGCTGCTGCATATGTGAGGCTAGAATTCAGAAGCATCATCAGAACTGGACATAGAAATTATGAAAATTTTGGAATAGAAATTTTAATGTCATCAGCATAGAATGGGATTGGAGATTATCCATGGAGGGAGAATAGAGAAGAGAGTTTATCCTGGAAGCACTCCAAACTTTAGAGAAAGGAGACAGCAAAAGATCCTAAATAGTGATGAATGAGCCTGCAGGAAAATCAGCAGCAGTGTAGAGAATAAACTGTTTCAAGAAGGATGATGTGGTAAGGCTGGTGTGATGTATAGTAGGATAAGAACAGACTTGAGCTTTGGGTATGGTAAATAGAGATCACTGGGAACTTCGGTAATGGGTAACCCAGGGCACCATCTGGAATAGCTTCTGGACTCTTCCCTAGGAAAAGCCTCATTTAGAGCTGAATCCCAACTATCCCCATTGTGTGGTTACCCTCTTGTGGGACATCATATCTGATTGATGCAGGCATCTGCCCAGGTGGATCAATCAGATTCACTTTCCTAGAAACTGGGAAAGAGGAATGAAGAGAAAGACAGGCTGAGTGTTCAGCAATGCCTTAGGCATGGTCAATGACCTTACCTTTTTGAAGAGTTTTTTATTTTATGTTTTATTTTGTTACCTGGAATTGGGCTTTGATATTTACATCCAAAAGAACTTTCATTAACACATGTACAAACTTTTAAGAATATATGTAAACATTTATTGAATATATAATATGGTCATATTATTTATCATACATTGTCTCACTCAGTCCTCAGAAAAATATGAAGCTTCCCCTACATTATAGATAAGGGAACAGGAGTTAGCAATTTGTCACAAATCACAAAGATAAAAAATGGCAGTGCAGGGACTTTAAATACACATATTTATGGTTCAAATGCCACCTTCTTTTTCTTTGGGCCTCTCTAATATCATAAGAAATAAGAATAATAGTAATAGAAATAATGATAACAAAAACATAGAGTGCATTGGTTGCCGGAGACCAGCTCTGCAGGATTCGTTGGACCTGAATAGGTGGTGTGGCGTCGGCGAGGAAAGAAAGAGATGGACCACAGATGTCTAGTGCAAGTGTGGACAACAACCACAAAAATCTTGCTTTATTTATATTTTTACCTAATCTTTTACACATTGATTTATCTTTTTTTTTT